TGTCAATTTCTCTTGTTTTCTTAGGGGCATTTACATGCATAGCAAACAATTCTTATGTATTTACACATCTCACACGTAAACTTTCATAAGTACACACACAACACTCAAATATTTAATATCACATCAAAAATAACACTATTACTATTTTTTAAAAGTGAAATACATATTTTCATATATATGTTTTAAAACACCATACTGCTATGTATGTAAATATAAAATTTAAATGTGAGATATGAAAATACATAAGAATTGTGTGCTACGAATGTAAATTTTCCTTTTCTATGGCATTATATGGAGATATTATAAATTATGTTGAGGAAATCAGGAATAACCTTAGATGAGCCATTATCTGTAAATTCGTAGTTTTGGTTGAAATCCGTGAATCTAAAGAACTCGTCCAGGGGCCATTCGGTTATACTTGCAGCCATTGGGGCTCCTCCGAAAAATGTTGCGAGGGGCCCGATTCTTCCATCTTTAGTGATTTCAGTTGAATAAACTTCATTAAGCTCTTCAGAATGGGATGTAGCAAGTAGGCTTGATTTGGGGTGATTGGAGGATGGTTCGAGAGGGACTTTAGCAGAACTGGATTGGTCCTTTGAGATCGATGGAGCTGATGCGGTGGATTCGAGACCAACTTGAACTCCGGTGAGAAGGAATCTCTGGTGGATTGAAACACATGGATTTGCTGTGTGGACGGAAAAATCGCAGTTTCGACAAAGAATTGCTCGGTCTTCCAGGCAGAAGAAATAAGCAGAACCTTCCTGTTAGGTGAATGACAATATATACAAAGTAGAAAAATATCACACTCAAACACCAAATCCGGGAATCATTAACTTCATTAAGTTATTTGAACAGCTTCAAGGGAATGATAGAACTGAAAATCTACATGCATAACTATCAATTCCTACGTATGTGCATATTTAACACCCAAATTTCAATTTTTGCATTCATGGCACCTTAACTGTGTATGAAAAGGTGTATTTCAGTTCTTAAAAGTTAAAATGAATGTATTTTTGACGTGATATGAAAGATTTGGGTGGTGTTATTGTAAAACGTAACATTTAGGTGTTAGATATAAGTAATAAGGTAAGTGGAATGGGTTAATAAATACTATCTATGAGGTAACAGATAGATAGTATATACTAACCCATTCCACTTTGCCTTACTAATAAAAAGATACATAGGAGTTGAGTGGTATGTATGTAAATGTGCCTTTTAAAAATTGTCAGAAGCCACATGTAGAGTTTGGATAGGAATGGCTGAAGTTCAAATTCTGACATTTTCT